GATGGGTTGATGGGTGCAGCAAACCACCATGGCACACAATTACCCATATAACAAAACTGCACATCCTGCACATGTACCCTGGAACTTAAAATAAAAATTAATGTAGGTATTTCATGTTTTTTTAATGTTAATTTCATGTTTTTTTCTTATTCCAATTGAATAAACTTCAAGTCCCACAAAACATGGTTCTTCACCTCCCATCCTCACCTTCAGCCCTCTTCCAGGGAATTAAACAGAATCATGTGTATAAAGTCCTGAGCACACAGTGCTTGGCATTTAGTAGATACTTAACAAATGTTGGCCATCATTATAGCTATCATCTCTATCAACATCTTCGTATTCATCAGGATAATGGAAAGCAAAGAAGAGAAACTGAATCTAACTAACTTGACCAAAAAACAGAATTACTGGGAGAATTTCTGGCAGCACTCTGGATTGGCAGGAAAGCTGGTGAAGTAGGCCCAGGGGACAGCAGGCATGAGAGCATCAGGCAACAAGAGGGCCCCTCCCTTTCATCCCTCCAGGCAGAGTTCAACAACATCGATCCGTTTTATGAGTTTACTTCCCCCGCCCCGCTTTGAAGAGGAGTGTTCCTGTCTTTGCAGATAAGGCAAATAGGTCTGCCTTAAATATTTCTATTACTTTAAAGTTCATAAATCCATTGGTTTAAAACTGTCAGCACGATGGGAAAATTCTGAGATGGAGCCATGCTTATCATTAGGCGAGGAATTTGCCCAAAGCGGGGGCAGTTTGCTGAGTGAAGGATGGTGGTGATGCCCAGAAATGGGCTACCTGCTTGTCCCACTCATGACTCTTGCCCTCTCAAGAAACATTTTAAAATCTGGCCCTCACAGTCACATGTCTTACGAGGCAGGGGTCACTGCAAGCTTCCCTTACAATATTCCCAGGTCCCTGTCTGCCATGATATGATGTCAGGGCAAGATGCCCACCCACCCTCCAAACCAGAGTGGCCCAGCGTTTGGAAAGTAGGAAGCATTTTCAGAGTGATAGAAAAAGCCCCAGATGAGAAGTAAAGAGGCTCGGGTTCTAAGCAATGATGTAAAATGTTTAACAACTACCTCTCTTGGAGGAGAAAAGTGGTCTGATTTGTAGTATTTGCCAATTTCAGTGGAGTAAATACTCCCAGCATGGCTGATGTCAGGGGACACAGATAGCAATAGATAGTATATAGCATCTCATTATATAGGACCTCTAACACGGAGATACAGCAAGGGTAAATGACCACCAAAACGAGGGATATGTTTGGAGTGATACATTGGGACTATTTATTTCCTTTGTTTTTAACATAATTTATTTAACTGTAAACTTAATATAATTTCATTTTTAATAATGTCTGTGTACAACAAATTGTTATATTGAAAATTTAACAGTTGGCTCTTGCAAACTGGCCAGCAACCCTGGTTTAAGGCGTCGCTTCAGGATGCAAGTTTGCACAACCAGAGCTGCTCATTTCTGTCTCTGTGACTTTGGGCAACTTACTTAGTTTGACATGAGAACTCTCTCTGAGCTAACACTCACACAGAGCTTACTATAAGTCAGACACTCTTCAAAACTCTTTGATCATTGCAAGGTCCTCATGAGGTAAACACTGTTATTTTACAGTGTTGTTTAGTTCACAGATGGGTTTGGGGAGCTGAGACACAGAAACACCATGTGACTTGTGCACGAACCCACCCCTGTGAAGTGGCAGGGCTGGGATTCGAACCCAGGCCATCTGGATTTACTAGCTGTGCTCCTAACCACTGCTCCATGCTCCCTCTGTATTCTGCTGAGCCAAGCTTCTGTCTCTGCCTATAAAATGTAGATGTTATTATGTATCTCCGGGGGCAGTCATGAGGATATAAAGATTAAGTGAGTTGATGTAAAGGACCACTGGCATGGCCCTTGGCACATGGAAACACCACGTAAATGGGAGCCACTGTAAGCATGCTTGGTACAGAGCTGTGGAAATTCCTTCTGGGCAGGAATCCCCGTGGGTGAGGGTGGCTGTTCTGTTTGAGCAAAGGGGGAAGGCTGGCCAACGTATTATCAGCTGGCTCTGAAGAGCACTGATGAATCATCAGCTGTCATTCTATTATTATCCAGGCTCAGGCACCCAACCTCTTATCTATACTTGCTCTGCAAAAATATGTTCTCCCCACACAGAGAAACTTTGGTGCACAGAGCTAGTGGATTTATAAAATAAAGCCAAAGTTTGGAACTTACAAAAGCTTCAAAATCCTGCCGTCCAATGCACTGAGTGGTATGTCACTGAAAGCTTATTCCTTCACTGAGTAACTGTCACTTGCAGACCACAGCTTGCGTACAGAAAGCCTAAAGATGCCTCCTAACCATCCCTTTGAACCTTGGGCTGGAAATTCTGTTTATCCCTTTTATTTCTTCATTCTGTCTGTGTCCTGGGAAGCTGGGCCAAAATAGGTGTTCTGTTGTCTTCTATCTTCCTGCTGGGTTTTGCTTATGGGAAACTAGGAGAACATGGTGGGAGGAAAAAAGAGATCAGGGTATTCATTCCCTGGGTCCCTCTCTGACTGCCCTATGTGGGCTTAGCAGTGACTGCTTTTCTCTATGAAAGGCTGCAGCTTCTTCCAGGGAGTGCTCTCTTAAGCTCTCATCCTCACTAGGTTTTGGACACTCTATCTCACCCTGTCCCCTCATGTCTCAAAGTGGTAATAATTTTCCCCCTTGCTGGCCTCGGGGTTCTCTACCATCCCTGTCAATTCCCTAAACCCAGCCTCACACCTTGGTAATGACCCCTTCATTCCACCGTCTTTCACCCATTTTGAGTGTGCATTTATTTCCTGCTGGGACATAACAGCCTTCTCTGAACCTCAGTTTACCCATCCATGAAATGAGTCCTTCTCCTTCCCAGTCCACCATGCAGAGGTTGCCTAGAGGGCAAAGCAAAACCTGAATGGGAAAACTCTCTGGGGAAAACAGAAGTTCAAAGTGCCACCCAGGAGCCAGGCATTCGTGTTATTAATAAAAGCCAGATAGGACTCTTCCATCTGCCTGTGCCTCCCTCCTCAGAATCCCCCTCCCCTCCACGCCCCCTGACCTCTTCTCTATGTCTCCGCCTTGACAGCCTCCTCCCCTGGCTGGTGTTCCCACTAAAGCCATCTTCCCTTCCCCCGCTCATCCTGCACCTCTGTGTCTATGGAGGGATGAAGTGCCCGGCTAATATAAGCGTGTTTACATTAAAATATAAGGACAATTACACCAGCCGATCTAATAGTCGGCTCTGTATATGTTACCAAGTACTTAGGGCTCTCTTTTGGAAAGCCATTATGCCCATGTGATTCCCCTCAAAGCCTTTCTTGAGGATTTTGTTTTGACAGGAGGGCATTAAGGGGTTGAAACTGATAGCATAAGCACACCACTTACACACTTTGATCAAATCGGTCCATAATTCTCCTGCAGAAACTCTTGTATATATTAGGAAGGAAATTAATTTTATTGCTGCTGCGGCTTTGCTGGTTAATGGCCCAGCAAGTCGGCCGACCCCAGAAGGCGAGCCGTGGGAGGTGGGCTCACTGCTTTCCTCCCAGGTTCACGGTCCACAGCCAAAAGGCAAGGACGAAAGGACGAGCCAGAGGGCACAAGGCAGGAGAACCCCGGATGCTGCGGGCTTTGGGGTGCAGGTAGCTGCAACCTGCTCCCGCTGACCTTGCCTCTCACCAGGGTTGTCATGGCTGAAATGCACATGGGGTACTCGCTGCATAACGTGGCTTTGGTCCAAGCACACAGCACATGTCACAAGCTATCGGCATTGGAGGGGAATTCAAACACATACCATAATTTGAAAGACTTTGAGGGTGAAACGGTATCCTCCATTTATATTTGTACTGTCAGGGAACAGAGCTAGGAAAAGTAGAGAATTTAAATAGCAGGGGTGTTGATCTGTCCATCATTTCATTTAATGAGCATGTACCCCAAAGTGGGTATGAGATGCCAGATGGGAAAAGGATCTCCTGGGCTCTCCCTGGTCTCTGTGTGCTGAGATTGAGTCTATAGGTTAAGATGATAGTGTTTTGTACAGTATGTCCCCAAATGTCAGGCAGCCTTTTCATCTTGCCCCTTCAAATGAATGAAAAACAAACCGTTCCTATACTCAAGGGATGCTGGTGCTGAAAGGAGTATTTTGTGCATGTGTGGTTTTTGCCTTTCTCACTGATTTTAGAACTTAACTTCTCCCACAAAAGGTATCTCCTTGGACTTCAAAAAAAAAATTCAAGCAAAATTTTAAAACCACACAAATCTATAAAAACCATTATCAACATCATCATCAGGTGAGAAGTGGGGAGTAGGTCGAGGAATAGATATGACAACACAGATGCTGGTAATTGCTGAAGCTGGCAGAAGATACAGGGAGAGTGATGCACTATACTCTTCTGTCTACTTTGTTTATGTTTGAATTTTTTGTAATAAAAACTAAATATCTTAAGGCTGGTCTTCTAATGACCTCATTTCTATTATCTTGAATTCTAGAATGCTCACTGGAGTGGGAGAAAGAAGGGTCGAATAGAGGTCTCGCAAGAGGAATTGAGTCTAACCCCATAGGACAGGTTGTATGAGAGAATGTCATTCATCCCACGTGTTTTTGTTTTTCTTGTGTGTGTATTTTTCTCTGGTATAAAAAAGAGATGGAGGACTTTGGGGCAGAGATGGGCAAAGGCATGAATTTTGCAGTCAGGTGACCATGTTCTGATCTCAGTTCTGTCACCGTGGAACCTTAAGCAAGACACTCTTTGAGTGTCAGTTTCTTCATCTGCAAGATAGGGATAATATTTGACAGGATTACACATAAAGTGCCTGGCACAGTCTAGCCCTCAGTAAATAGTGGCCGGGGTCCGCATGTGTAAATACTTGCCTCTCAGCAGGAACTCTTTTTCTAATGATACCATTCTGATTTTCCTCTGGGAAACTGCCCTTCCCTCTACTTCCAGTCCAATGCCCAGATACAATGGGCATGTGATTTGGGATGGCCAATCACACCTCCTTCCTGTTTTAGGGTATGGTTTAGGTGCTGTGACTCCACCCCCAGCTACAATGGGCATGTGACTTAGGGTGGCCAATCACAGCTCCTTTCTGCCTTAGGGTGTGGTTTAGGCGCTGTGACTTCACCCACAGCTACTATGGGCATGTGATTCAGGATGGCCAATCATAGCTTCTTCCTACCTTAGGTTGGTTTAAGTGCTGTGGACTCCACCCCAAGCTACAAAGGTCATGTGACTGAGGATGGCCAATCACACCTCCTTCCTGACTTAGGGTGGTTTAGATGTTGTGACTTCACCTCCAGCTACAATGGGCATGTGACTCAGGATGGCCATTCACAGCTCCTTCCTACCTTAGAGCTTCACAGATGTCATGTGGCTACATGGGAACCAATGGGACAGATGCGTCATAGACTTTCACTGGCTTTTTCGATGGAAAAACATGCTCTCTTATTGGAGGTGAGAATGTAAGCCTGGATTTTCAAGCAGTCACTACTTTGGGAAAAGCAGGACTGAGGTCGAGTAAATGTAGGCAGAAAGAAAATAACACCCAGTCTTGAAAGAAAGTGAAAAAAAGACCCAATCTCTGGATCAAGCCATTCCTAAATCTACTGTGTTTAGCCAGTCAAATATATTTAGGGCGTCAGCTACTCTTAGGTTTTCTGTCACTTGGGATAGAACATTCTAACTAATACAATTATTATTGCCATTATTACTGCTATCGCTTGCCAATTACAGTAGCCAATTTTATTCCTATTATGTGAAAGTTCTTACTGAGATGGTGCCCTTTGGGATCTGTTATGCTAAGATTATATTATCCACCCAGCTTTTTAGTTTGTAACATTTGTGGTATTTCTTGTCTTCAGTATCGTTGCTACACCATAAACATGCCTAAGGACTCTGGTCTAACATGGCTAAGAAGGGAGGAGAAAGAGACATTTTCCTGCCAGGCAGATTCCCAAAATGCCCAGCCTCTTGGCAGGACCCCTAGAATATGATCAGTGGGGTGGCAAGCCCTGGTATCCCCAAAATACTTTGGGATAGGCATAGGGGCTATTTATGTTCCTGCAACTGAACAAGGCAACAACAGGAATAAGTGGTCTTAGACAAGCTTGTGCCGTAAAGGTCCCGAACCTTAGCTCACAGCTCACCTTCTAGTTATCTGCTGCCATGTAACAAATGGTCCCAAAAATTAATGGTGTAAAACAACAATTATTTTATTAAACTCACAGATTCCACGGGTCAGGAAGTCAGACAAGGCATGGTGGGTAATGAATTGTCTCTAGTCTGCGGAATCTGGGGCTTCAGCTTGGAAGACACATGGCTAGCAGTGACTTGAATAGTAGGGGCTCGGAGCATCTGAAGGCTTTTTTTTCCTTTGAGATGAAGTCTCGCTCTGTCGCCCAGGCTGGAGTGCAATGGCATGATCTAGGCTCACTGCATCGTCTGCCTCCACCTCCCAGGTTCAAGTGATTCTCCTGCCTCAGCCTCTCAAGTAGCTGGGATTGCAGGCGCCCACCACCATGCCCAGGTAATTTTTGTATTTTTAGTAGAGATGGGGTTTCACCATGTCAGTCAGGCTGGTTTCAAACTTCTGACCTCAGGTAATCCACCTGCCTCGTAACCATGTGTTTGGTGCCTGGGCTGGGATAGCTGAAATGCTAGGCTCAGCTGAAACTTACATGTGGACTCTTGTAGCTTGGGCTTCTCACAGCATGGCAGCTGGGTTCCAAGAGAGGATATCCCAAGAGGGAACATCTAGAGAAGATGCATTCCAAGAGAATGGGAAGGAAGCTGCAGAGGCTTTTCTGACTCAGCCTCAGAAATTACACTACGTCACTTCTACTGCATTTCATTGGTTATGCCTGGGTTGCTAAGACTAGCCCAGATTCAAGGGAAAGGAATTAGACTCCATCTCTTTGTGGGGAAGTGACAAGGTAACGTTGTGGAAGAGAATGATGAATGAGAAATATTATTGCAGGCACCTTTGGAAAATGCTATTAACCATGGTACCCAGGCCCTGCCATCACACCTGGGGTAGAGACAATACCCAATGTTTACTGAGAATTCACTAAGCAGCAAGCACAGAGCTCACCGGTTTGTATGCATGATCTCATTTCATTCTCACAACTCTATGAGGTAGCTATCATCTTTATACTCCTATAACAAGGAAGAATAAGAAAATGAAGAGGGTAAGTGACTTGCCCAAGGTCCCCCAGCTAGCAAATGAAGGAGCTGAGATTCAACCACAGGCTTGCATGAGCCTAGATACACTTAATAATGTGCTGTTTTGCCTACAACTTCCCTTTTCCTCTTCGACCCTATCCCCTCTCTGCCTGTCCTTTAGAAGTTCTTCTGTGTTTCAAGAAAGAGCCAGCTCTTTATTTTCACCTGATTTCACCAAGAAGCATGGAATTTAAAAGCATTGTCACTACTCTCATAGGTAAAGCAGGGAGTACAATCCCAATCTGACTGATGGGAAAACCAAGGGCCATAGAAGGAAAGTAACTTGCTAAGGTCACACTCAAGGTCATTGGCTCAAATTACTAATCGGTTTATGGGTTGCACATCACCCTTGAATAGTACCTTGACTGGGCCTCCTTGTGATATATGAGGGGAGGCTCGCTGCTGCCCTTTATGCCTCACCATGACCAGCTTTTCTCTTCTATCCCTGGTCCTGTTCGAGGATTCCCTCTGTCTCCAGTCGGGCTGCTCCCATGGCTGTCAGACATATAAATGATGGGTTCCTTGGCCTCTGTTTCTTCCCGTCTCTCCCAATCTCCTTTTCCTTTACCCCAATCCAGCTTTGGCCTCCAGAGCTATCTCATCTCCTTCCCAGTGGGGGATTATGGCATGTCCAGAGAGTGTCCAGCCCTGAGAACTGTTTACACTAGAGATTAGCATTTATCTCTATCCTTTCAACCTCTCTCCCCATGCTCAGCACTGCTGTCTACATTGAGGATGGAGGAGCAGCCCCCAGAGATGAGAGCCAGCCAGGCTGGGGCTACCTCCCTGGCATCTGTATCCCCTGAACCCTCTTTCCCACCATCTTTGGGATCAGTCCTCCTGTTCTTGTTCAATCTCTGAAAATCTTGGGGTTTCTGGATAAATGCCAGTGACCCCCTAAAAATGTAAGCCTGAACCTTCTTTTTGAAGAGAAGTTTTGCTTGTGGGTATTTGAGCCATGTAAGCCCTTTAACCCGGAAACTATACTAGGACTCTATTCTACAGGAACTCTCACATGTCTGTGCAAAGGTACAAGCATATTCAACAGTTTCAGTTGAAAGAATAAAAAATTAGGAAAAAACATATTTTCGTCAATGGAAAATAGCCTGAATAAACTCTGCTACATCCATACTCTGAACTAGTAGGCAGCCATTAAAGAAATGAGGTTATCTTGCATGTTCCAATCTGAGAAGATGTTCCGATTATACAGTGTTTTCTTTAGGGCCTCAGGAGGAAACTGGTGGCACATTTAAGCTGAGTCATTTAAAATGAGTTAAACAAAGGGTCTGTTTGTAAAGGTGTGAGTGAGGTTTAAAGAAACCAACAAGGGGCAGTGTAGCAACATGAGGGAGCTGTTACCACTGTAGGGCTGAGGCGGAAGAGGAGCTGGGGTATCTCATTAACCAAACCCAGCCAGAAACTAGAGAGCAAGGGAGTGTAATGCTGCAGTCCCCCCAGGGTGCAGAGCAGGGTAGAGAAAGGTAGAGATGGATATACATGGGCAGAAAGAATTCATCCAGCACACAAAGCTAAATGAAGAAAAAAAATAAAACCGTATTTGTGGGATATGTCTTTTACATAAAAACGTAAAAAGAGAAAAACCAATCCCCTAAACTGTATATCTACATGGATATATGGTGCAAAGGGACAAGTGTATTTATTTTAATATTATTTATTGAAAGAATGAAAAATTAGGAAAAAATATATTTGTCAATAGAAAATAGCCTAAACCAACACTCCAAAATATAAACCCATAGATATATCCATAGATATATCTGTATGAATATGTATCTATATGGATATATCTAGGGTATCTATCCATAGAGATATATTTATAGAAAATAGAAAATAGCCTGAACCAATTATCCAAACTACATATCCATGGACATATCTATGGATATATATCCATCTATCCATATAGATATATCCAGGGATATATAGTTTGGGGGTGGTTCAGGCTGTTTTCTATTGACAAAGATATATTTTGTCCTAATTTTTCATTCCTTCAACAAAGAACATTAAAATGAATATGCTTGTACCTTTTACAGACATGTGAGAGTTTCTGTAGAATAGGTTCCTAGTATAGTTTCTGGATTAAAGATCTGACACAGCTTAAATACCCACAAACTATTTATATATAGTTTGGTTGGGGGGGGGTTGCTCATTATATATATAGATGTAGAGAAAAGGGACTGGGTGGATAAAGAACAAATTGTTACTGGTGGTTACTTTGGGAAAACAGAAGGACATGTAGAAAAAATTTCCTACTTCTGTATTATCTTTTTTAATATTATCTAAATTCATTATGGATAAAGTGCATCCTCTTTTATCTTCTGTTTCCTTCCTCCCTTCTGCTCTCAACTTGTGCCTGAACTCCCATGTGTTCTCTTCATATGGGCACTTGCTCATACCACAGGTGGCTAAAAATATTGAGTGGGGTGGGAGGGTCCTTCAAGGGACTTTGGGTGAGACTAGAAGGAAAGCCCAACAGCTGGGAGGGAGGCCTAATACCCTGGACTTCTAGAAAGTCCACTTCAATTCCATGCTCTACAGTCAACTGGGTAGCTTGCCTTGGGCAACTGGCTTCAGTCTTCTGGTCAAAGGTAATAATAACAGTATATGTATCTGGATGTTTACAAAGACACTACTTGAAAAATGCAATTGGCGCAGTGGCTTGCCAACACATCATGATGGTGCTCATGGTGTATCATGATGTTCATTTCTAATTTCCAGGAAATTAGCAGTTTCTAGAAGACGTTCGTATCCATCCTTTTGGCTTTAATGGAGGAAAAGATGTCCAAATCAGGCTGCTGCCAACACAGCACTCTCCCTTCCCTTTGTCTTTAAGTCCCCCATGTCCCAAGCTCTCCTGATCTCCTGCAGATTCAAAGGCCAGCGGGCAGAGGCTCACAGTGCGGCAGGCCCTAATTGGCCCCCTAGCTCCCACCCATCTGATAGGACGCAGCTGTCCATGGGGGCAGAAGGCACATTAGATAAGACAGTCAAACAAAGCCTACACTTTGTATATTTGATTTGTCTGACCTAATTCCCAGGCCCCACAGGAACAGGTTCAGGGCTGGGGATGGGGTGAAGAAGAGGGCATGGTTTCCATCTCTCCCCTGAGACTGTCCTGATCTTTCCTGGAATCTTGGCTGTTTCACTGGGAATGCCCATCCAAGAGCTCTGAATCTGCAGGCCAGTGCCATGAGTTCAGATGCTGATTGTGCCTCCATGTGACATTGTACAAGTTGAGTCACCTCTTCAAGACTCGATTTTCTCGGTAGGTAAAATGGGCCCAGTAATGGCCATCTTAGAACATAGATTATGTGAGTAAGATGTGTTTAGCAACAAGTCTGGTGGGATCTTTGTCATCCTGCATCCTTTTTTTTTTTGCCATCTAGGGAGGAAAGTTAGGATATTTGGCTCTCTGGGGCCTGAATCCCTTTCAGTAGCCCTGTGAGCCCAATTAAGCCAGGCTGACAGCTTACCGATGTTTTCCTGCAGCCCTGTCATTGGATTGCCCAGGAAAGTCAGGTGTGGCCTGATGCAGGTGGAAGTGAGGGCCATTGTCCAGGTCCAGGGGTATTCCTCTCTGAAATTCATCTGCTTCTGCCCCAAACTGATAAAGCCATAAGCAATGAAACATCATGAGCATGAGAGGGATCCATCATGCAAGAAAAAATAAGCACCATTCTCAGACCTGAAACTAGATGAAAGGAACTCAGAAAACACAAAAAATACATATACTCTGTATTTTTAGAAATGCATTTTGTGGGGTTAAAACATTTTCTTTCTTACAAGCTTAAAATGGCTTTTAAATGAGTTCTACTTTAACATTTTAAGAGTACCAGAAGGCTCATAAACACACAAATAATACAGGTGGTACCTGCCAGCACAGGTAGATTTATCACCTGTATCAAAAGAAGTTAATAAACAAAACACTGATCTTAGAAAGGAATAGAAACCTATGTATGTTCGCACCCCCAAGTCAGATTCCCATGTGCTTAAAAGTCGTGCAAACATATTATATTACAGTGAGTTATATCTTTTTTAAAAAAAAAAAAAGCTTATTTATCTTATTTATGAAATGTGTTTAGCCTCCATCGACTATAGAATGCCAAGTGCCTGAGGGCAGATTCACGGTTCATTTCCTTCACCTCTAGATCACCAGCACCTTGGACAGTGCCCGACACAATGTAGTTACTCAATAAATATTTCTTGTATGAAAAATAAATCATCTGCTTATGGGTCTGCCGTTTTCTTTAGCAATTATTGTGTCCTTCTGTATTTACTCTACCCAAGAGACTAAAGGAAGAGTGGCTCAGCTTTGAGCCTCCAGAATCAGGGATCGGCCACACAGCAGTGGTGTGACTTAAAGCAAGCAGTTTCACCTCTCTGAGCTTCAGGATTTGGTTTGAGTCTTATTGTGAAATAGAGCATCCATTCTAAAGAGTATAGCAAGTATAAACGAGCATTTTAAGGAGCAACGATAAAATGGACACCAATGCAACAGCATCTGAAGTATCTCAAATGTCCCTCAGGGCCCCTCCTTCTTTGCATTCTTCTCCCTCCCCACCCACATTGAGAAGGAACCGCTCTCCTGAATTTTTTTGTAACAATCATCCTCTTTTCTTTCTTGTTTTACTACACATCTCTGTCTCCTAACAATATGTGCCTTTCTTTTGCTTTTCTGCAGTTCACATATATGGAAACAGGCTTATGCATCCCTCTGTGAGTTATGTTTTGTCTCTACGTTTTGTCTTCAGGAGTCCCCCCCCCCCGTTGAAACATGCAGCTGTAATTCATTCATTTTTCACTGTTGATTGGTGTTCCAGTATGTGGATATGCCGTACATTCATTGTCTATTTGACTGATGATAGACCTTTGGATTGATTCCCAGTCACTGCTTTACAAACGATGCTACTATGAGCATTGCCCTGTGTGTCTCCCAGAACACACACACAGAAGTGTCTCTCAGGCACATGCCTAGGCCTCAGATTGCTGGCTCATAGGGTGTGTGCATCATCAGCCTCAGCAGGTGAGGCCATCCTGTTCCCCAAGTGGATTGTATCCATTTACCACCCACCAGCACTGGTTGAGCCCCTTGTTCTTTCAGTCTCATCAATGCTTGCCGTTAGGGCTAGAGGTACTTTATCCATAAATTAGGTGTATTATCTCCTGCCTCAAATCCTTCCAGTACCAGTTTCATGAGAAAACACATGCCAAGGATGTGGTCCGTAGTAAGGCTGTGTTGAGCCCAAAATATTTCTCCAGGGGCTGCAGGAGTAGACTTTCCTGTACAAAAATTGTTGACCTAAGCTGCGTAAATGTTGGGTACCTGTCACTGGAGGCAATCAGGAACAATGCACACAGCAGATGAGCAAATATTAATTTAATTAATGAGGGAGGAGGATGGAATAAACAGAGGTCTCATTGGGGGGACCAGTGATTAATAAGAAGTACTGATCACCTTTTTTGGCCCTTAAATTGCTCTAAGATTGATAAGCATTATCTTATTGCTCCTTTGGACAGCCTTATGAGGTAGGTACCACCATAATATCCATGTGGCAGACAAAGAAATCAAGGCAGAGAGAAATTATATAACTCATCCAGAGCCACAAAATAAATTGGCTCAAGAAGCTTCACTCTAAAACACATTATACCTTGTCTGTCCTGAAGGAGAAACTTGACTCTTAGACCAAGATAAACACTGAGATTTGTGAATGTCAGAATTACATGTTGGCTATCACTGAGGAAGGAATGATGTGGCCTGCCTAGATCTCTTGCTTATGTAGGGGCCAAGGGAAAGCTTCCTCTTGGCTCTCTGAAGGTTCACTGAAAAATCAACTGATAAAAAGAAGATTAACCAGAGAAAGGGGTACAAATTTATTAGCATGCATATGGGGGAGAACTGCAGAGTAATTACCGACAACCCCCAATAGCACAGAGAAGCTTATATGCCATCTTAAGGTTACAGAAAGAATGGGGACTTGAATTATGGCAAAAAAAAAATTATAGGAGGGGAAAAAGGGGCGGCCTGGCTATCATAGGTGGTCTTGCTATTTAGATAAAACCTCACAGATATCAGGCCTCAGAGAGAATAAATGGTATATGATCCTTTCAGACCTTTAAAAAGTGTCAGACTCAGATATGGTTTGGCTGTGTCCCCACCCAAATCTCATCCTGAATTGTAGTTCTTGTAATACCCACATGTTGTGGGAGGGACCCAGCGGGAGGTAATTCAATCATGGGGGCAGTTACCCTCATGCTGTTTTTGTGATACTGAGTGAGTTCTCATGAGATCTGGTATTTTATAAGGGGCTTTTTTCCCTTTCTCTTGGCACTTCTTGCTGCTGCCATGTGAAAAAGGATGTGTTTGCTTCCCCTTCTGCCATGATTGTAAGTTTCCTGAGGCCTCCCCAGTCGTGCAGAAGTGTGAGTCCATTAAACCTCTTCTGTTACAAATTATCTGGACTTGCATATGTCTTTATTAGCAGTGTAAGAATGGACTAATACAGATTCTCAGTTCATCTTTCCTAGATTCAGAGAAGGGAAGACCTCAGATAAGATCAGGCTGCATCAATGCAGATTTTCTAAACCAGTTTAATGTCCCCTCCCAGAAGACAGGTTCTCAGGGCTACTTCTGTCTGCAGGCCCTCTGACCAGCTATCTCAAAATATCTTTTTAAAAAAGATTATATTTTGGGGTAATTTCTTTGTGATATGTGTGAAGGTGGCCATGATGGCTTTGCCTTGGGTAGAGAAGAGTAGCCAGGCAGCCACTGTCATTTTCAGGCAGGTGGAAAATGAAAGAGTTAAGTGGAATCAGATCAGATCTGCATTACATTTAGAAGAATTCACCTGTGTGTGGTTAGAGAAAGAGAGAAAAGCAGATTCAATAGTACAGTTGGTTCCTCCCATCTCTTTATTTGCTGAGTGTCCACCCAGAGTGAAGGTAAGAAGGGAGATGTATTGATTAGGTTCCTTGCAGGAAATCAATAACAAACCTAGGGGTTGTTTGAAGGGCATTAAAATGAGGAAGGGCTTGCAGAAAAGTGAGCAGGATTAAGGAAAACAACAGAGGGAGATAACGCACCTTGGGATTATCAGCAGCAGGGAGCAGTTACTACGCTCAGTCTGAAGAGGCAGGAAGGGAACAGTGAGACCGGGACCCAGAGAGCCAGAGCTGTGGCTGTAGCTATTGGAAGGCAGCCACTGCCAAACCACAGCCCACCAGGCAGGGAAGAGAGGGAACAAATATCCCTCTTCCTCTTCCCTCTCACCTTCCAAGATAGAAATTATTTAATGCATCTGGTGTACTACTGGTGGCTCCTTTTGGCCAAATTTAATCAGAAGCCAGAGGGCATGGGAGTCCAGCTTTCTCAGCCCATACTGATCAACTTCTGAGAGCAGAGTGGGCAAGAGTGAGGAATAGACCTGATGAGCTTTCTGTTTGCATGGGAGTCTCCTCCTGTGAGCCTCACTTGCTTTGAGTATGACTCAAGAGTTTAAAGATATTTATTGTAATACAACATGCCCTAAGGTTTGTCAAGCCTATTGCTTCACTGATGCTCACACACAAAGCAATCTAGTCCAACTTTAGGGAAGAAAACTAACCTGTTAGGTTTGATTGGGAGAATATATGTTGGTGACCAAACTGGCACTTTCTAAGAAATTTCCATGAGCCACGTTGATTTTTAGGTGCCCATTGCCTTAGAGGAGACCACTAAACAGGTTCAAACGAAGGGGAAGAGATGGTCAATAACAAGATATGGATTTAGAAAAATGTTCTGGGATTCTCCAAGACAATATATTCGGTATAATCCCAAGAATGACTCAGTGCATTCGGCAGCACCTCAGAGTCTCATATACCAGCCCAGGAATGGGAAGAAACCGTCAATGGTTGCCAAGTTGGAAATGGATTTTGCAGATGAGGTTGCCCCATGAAGTAACAGGCAGAGTCTGACTGCAGCTGACACATGTGAGACTTCGTGTGACTGTGTGGCATCTTCTTCTAAAGGAAGTGCTTCACTGTGCTTGGCACTGTCCCTGTGAAGTGGGGACCCTGACTCCATCACTTGCAATGGTGGATGCTGTGATGATTAGATGCTGGGAGCAAAGGCTACAGAGCCTTCAGCTGCCAGCCTCTTTGGGATCCCATCAGCTTCAGAGAGCCTATGGTCACACTCTTCTGAGAGTGACCAGCATCTAATAATGACAGAAGGGGTATAAAGTCTTGGCTGTGCGGGCCCAACTTGAGACAACTTTAAAGGGCCATTTTACTCCAGAGGCTTCATTCAGTCAAGACAGGCTTTGAGCCTTAGGCACAGCTTAACTTCTACCTACCCTTGCATCCTCTGCCTCCTCCCTCCCACTGACATTAAGAACATCCCCTCCTATAAACTTCTGCATGATAAACTCTGTCTTAGAATTGGCTTTTCAGCAGCCCAACCAGCAACTTGCTAACTGTGTTGACTTTGGACAATTTACCTAATCTCTCTAAGCCTGGTTTCCTTTTCTGTAAGACGAGGGTGAGAAGAGGGCTTACCTCATCAGCTTATTGTGAATATTAACTGAGATAATATATGAAAAGTGTCTAGCACAGTGCTTCACATGCTGCAAGCACTCAATAATTGTTACCTATTATTGTTTGGATTGGCTTTCTACCCCTGAACACATCATGGTAGGAGGGGTTCTGCTGAATGGTAGTCATTTCAAGAAGTTCTAATAATATCTGAGCATTGCTCATATCTCCATGGGACAGATATTTTCCATATGCCCTCTGGGTCTCCTCCCTACCCTTCTCCATCTGGCTCTGTGCCTGAGAGGTGAACTTGTGTAGATAGCACCAATGGGCTCCCACGTACACCAGCTCTGGTTGGGTTCAGCCAATAGAAAGCTCCAGTGGGAAGTAGGAAAATAGGAATAGAGTTAGATTGGGATATTTACTTTGGGGAGTTTGCCTTGGGCTGAATGTGACCTCAACCAAGGGTCATCGCTCCTCTCAAGTAGCCACCTTCACATGAATTTTTCCATGAGTTCCAATAACTGCTATTTCCTCTCATCTCTTTAAACATAGGACACCCTTCCCCCAACAAATTTGCTATTATTATCCACAAAACATGCCCTAACACTTAGAGCATCTCTGCATCCTACTCACACTTTGATAAATAGTCTTCTATTAAATCCTTCTCAAATTTCCCAACTTGTGGCACCACTTTTTTTCTTTTGGGGAGTAATCCTGACTGAACTATTATTTTTAATTCAACAAAATTTACTTGGCCCATGTTGCAGGCTAAACAATAGGCTGAACAACTTCATGGGCTTAAATCAAGTCAATCTTTAAATGCCACAGGATGATGGCCTTCAAATCCCTGAGGCTTGAGCAAGAAGAGCAAATTTACCTACCTGGGAAAACTGGGCCTGTTAGTTCAATTCACACTGAGACGCTAATGAGCTACCCACATTCTGCTTCTTTCAAAGGCATTTCCATTCCCAAACTCTGCTGG